AAGACAAGTGCCCCGACCGTGAAGCTGTAATGTTTTCTCTGCAAAACAGATTAGATTTAAAATATGTTCTTGGTAGCATAATACTGGTGATGTCTGTTCTAGCAGAGTCTTAAATGGAGGTTATTAAAGATTATGTAGCAAATAGCGATGGCACTGCTCTGACAATCTTGAAATGAGCAGCATAGTATGAATCATAGCATGGGTCCATTAGCTTATTTTATTTACTGAATGTGAGTGGACACATGTACTTTGATATTCTTGTTGAAAGTTATTGGGTAGCTGTTCAGCAGACTTAAACCATCATAGTGTTATTGATTATTATTTTTTTTTTTGGTGGGAATCATTCTCGTACATTAGTTGACAATCTTGCTTTGTGCTGATTTCAGTCTTGTGATTTTTAACATTTGTAATACATTTTAGCATGCATTTTCACATGTACAAGATACTTACTAATAACTTTGCTCTGTTAATGATACTTTATCTTACTAGGTCTTATATACCAGATATTAAATGAACTGCAAAATGTCTGTCAGTACATCCATCTGGTTCTTTATTTTTAACATTATACAATGAACTGTTTGTGTATTTTTGTATTTGACCCTCTGGGATCTGAAAGTCTGTTCCATTTCCACATATATCCCACATTTCCGACACAGATGGAAAACTTGCAATAACTGAAGAACTGAAATTTAGCCCAGCTATCTTTCACATTTGCTTACAGCAGCCCCTGCAGAATATCCTGGATATTATGAAAATCCCACATGTTGGAAATTTCTAAGAGTTTATTTCCTGTTAAATGAGTACCTTTTAAACAGGCAGTCTGAGTACTTATCTGATTGATAAGACAACATAAAGATGCTTAATGTAAGAAATACAGAGGTTTAGAATAAATGAAGGGTCAGTAACTTTCCTTTTTATAGCACCATAAATAGATTACACCAGAGATCTAATAGATTGCAAGCATTTTCTCAGCTAATATAGGAGTTTCATGTGCTTTCCCCCTCTGGAATATTAGTGTGGATTATAATATTCAGTAGACTGCACCTCCACTTGGAGATCAGTTGCTTTCTTTTTTTTAAAGCAGAAAGTTTTTATCAAAAAGAATGTCAAAAGCCATTTTATGTAAAAGACAAATTTGTAATTAACTGCAGCATTTGCAGGAAATGTTTTGTATAGGGAAGAATGAATATTCAATGCTATTTAATTGTTTATTTAAAACAGCTTAACGAGCTTTGCAAAGGCAGGAAAACACTGAAAAATGTAAACTAGAATGATAAAAATGCTTTGATTATAACTTCTCATTGACTGTCAACAGCCTCTGAGTAAAACACTACATGTGATTGTCTTTTTCAGTAATGGTGTTAATGTAGCTTTCTGAAAACTGCCCTCCTGCTAGTAGTAAGGGTCTAATACCTCTCTAAACCAGCAGTGGTGCTGGTATATGAAGACAGTTTTATCATGATGGCTGATTATTCAGTATAGAATACATCTATTTAAATATGCATGTTGGGAGTAAGAAAAAACATCCCTAGGCTTTCTGAGCTTCCTAATCAAGAAGATGACTTTGACAGTCTCTGTCATTACTACATACTGCTGAGAAGGTACTTATGAGAACTGTTTTCTATGTTTTTTTCTGTATAGACTACTTTAAGAAGAAGGTAGAAACTCTATGTTTTTGATTCTGTCCCCCGTTAATTCTGCTAGTGTTAATCTGAGTAAGAAACTTCTGGCTAAACACTGCTTTCTTGAATATGCATGTACACAGGTTGTAAAGAGAGGGGGAGAAAAAAAAGAAAAAAGTACTCATAATTTTGTGAGTGGAAATATAAAACTCACTTAAAGAAAAAAGTAGCATCTTTTATTGCATAGTAGGAAAGAATCTTTGAAGCTGACAAAGAATAAAAAGAGTTAGAACTTGGGAGAACATTAAAAAAACCAAACCAAAACAGCCCAACCTACAAAAATTGTACAGCAGAGGAAACATGACTCCTATCACCCCACTTGTAAAATATATATTTTCTTTGCAGTACTGTGTATGCTGTATTTGTTCTTCCGTATGCAAACTGGGATAAATCCATACTGCTTGTGACCTCAAATTTGTATTTTCCTCTCTTTCTGCATTAGTTTTCTTTCAAAATGGGAGCTATATTTTACACCTCTCTCTAACCAAAAAGTATGTCATTAAATACAACATAGTCTGTCAAGCAAATAAAGAACTTTAAAAAAAAAAAAAAAGGGGTGGGGCAGGGAGAAGAATAGCAGTTGAATAAATGTAATATTTAGCCACTGCAAGAGCTTTAAATACAGCTAAGCCAAGATTTTCTGCACTATTTTTGTAATATAATATGTGGAGTGTGGTTTGGTGGTTTTTTTTTTTTTTCCCCCTCAAAGGAAGTGTTCTCCATTCTCCCTTTTGATTCCTTATATCCAAGGGCTAATTGAATGTAAATACTAATATAAACTTCTAGATCAAGCATCTTGCTAAACAGCTCTCTCTCTCGAGGTTTTTCATGAAATGTTATGAAAACGGAATTGCACAGCGCTTACTAATTGGGGTAATCTGGGTAGCTGATAAATAAATATGCAGCTAAGGCCAACAGGTGACTGATCCATAGAGAGATTGAGGACTGAAGTTATACTGGTGATATACAGCAAAGCAAATTCTCTGTATTGACCCCAAATTAATTTTTATTCACTTTAACATGGTAGCACAGAAATTAAAAAAAAAAAAAACCAAAAAAACACAACAAACACCAACAAACAAACAAATCCACAAAAAAAAACCCAAAGGAAAGTGGTTTGTTCAGCTAAGGTACCTACTTTTAAAGGGGTTCTGTCAAACTAAGTTGGGGGGTTTTTTTGATTCATTAAGGGGAAACTTTTGCAAATCCTAGGGTCAGTAGAGACAATGTTTTCTTGAAGATTTTGATAAAAACCATTTTGCTTCATTGGGCCCATAATGTTCATAATCTGAACAACACAATATATCACATAGTCTGTTTTTCTATAACTGACCAAACAGTGAAATGTAATATGGAAATAATCTACATTCATTGTGAAAGGTACATTTAATTTTGAGAAGTTCTATTTTAATGATCTAAATGATTGCACCTCAAGTAACGTTGTTGTTGTTCTAATCAGGCTATATTCCTTCAGTGCATGGTGACAGATGCTGTTCTTGATTCCATAGGTGTAATAAAGGGACAACTTCGCTGAATTTGCTGTCACATCATGGGGTGTGGAACAAACTGACTCCAGTTCACCTGGGCATATTGTGCATGTGACATTTAGGATGTGCAAGGCTTTTTTTTAGTTTTTACTTGGCTTTATATTCCAATATAAAACACATTAATGCTAAGATAAAAATCAAAGCAAAATCTAAAATTATTTTTCTTTGAAGTATGTAATGATACATTTAATTACAAATTCAATGAAAACTGAACCTAAATGTGAACAGTGATTCCATAAACACTGAGTATGGAGAAAAAGCTGTTTAATCTTATTCCTTCTTACTATCAGCTGCAATCATTGTTCTAGTAAAGCGTTTGCTGTCTCTTGATATCTGTATCACAGGGTGTTACTCATACTTATTACAAAAACATTTCTGAACAGACACTTGGACTACAGCTCTGTGAAGTGATAATTGCAGGCAGATGCACACTGACAACCACTTCTTTGTTATTTTGTAATGCCTCATGGGTCAAAGAAGAAACAAGAGTAAGTTGGAAAACAAGGATAAGTGGCATATGCAGCAACTGATAAAAGTGAGACATATGGCCCTTTCAAGGCTGGGATCTGTTAGCTCCTCTTGAGAGACTGGCTGGAGAGTAAGAAATGAGTGTCCTGGGAGGAGTGCCGAACACAGGGCAGTGTGGGAGCTAGCCAGCGCTGGCTAGTTCATGGTCTGTAGGCAGCCTGCCCTGTGCCACATGAATGATGTGTAAAAGCATCACAAACAGCCAGGTGTGGGATGCATTTTAGATAAGTATTTTGAACAGTGGAAGTCTTTTCTGGAAATGGTGCACTCTTAAAATTCTCTGAAGAAACCACTTAATTTTGCAGTCTTGAAAATCTTTGTGCAATGTTTCATTAAGAACTCAGATTTCTAGCTGCTGATAGGCTGCGAGCCTTCATAAGTTCTTTTCTTAGGTTATTCACAAAATTTTGCAGCATTTGTTCTCTCCCAAACCTTAGTATTCTACAGTGTGAAACCAAAAAAAACCTGTCTTCTCAACCACTGTGTTATCTGTTCCCTGCATTTCACTTCTAAAAATTGCCATTTTATCTATGAATTCTGGGAGGGAGAATCCAAAGTTGCATAAATGACGTACGGATAGCGGAGGGGGTGGGGAAAGAAAAGAGGAAAAGAAAAAAAAAGAAATTCACACTAGCAATCTCCAGGTGGTTTTGAGTGGAATGTCAAATAAACCAAGCCATGATAGCTGAAGAACTATTAAAAAAAAAAAAAAAAAGTTTCTATTTGCATAGGTCATACAACTGAAAAACGACCAAAAGTAGTTTGTTATCGAAGTTACTACATAGAAGCATGGCTACAAGTTCAAAAAGAACAAGGTGTTTTCCAGTATTACCACAGACTCCTATTTAGTTGTGTCTGAAAATGAAGATGTCGCCTACTGACCTGCTGGATTACTTGCGTTTGGGAACAATTCTAAAAATCATGGTGCTATTTCACATTGATTCATTAGATCTGCACGGAATGTGGGAAGTCCATCTCACAAAATATTTTAAAGTTCGGCTTTGTTATAGATCACAATCTTTTGCCACATTTGTCTCTAAGATACAATTTTTAGAATAGCTGGAAAATTTCAAGTGGCTAGAAAATTATGTTGAATTTTTTTTTCTATGAACTCTGTCTTTGCACCCTAGTATAAAGAAATCATTCTTGAATTAGCCTACAAAGTAACCTTGCTACAGGGTACACTGAGTAGTTTAAGCATTTATTAACCTTTAACTCTTTCCTACACCTTCCCCCTCCCCAGGATGCCTTTGAGATAATGGCTGAAAATTATGAGTTCAGAGAAAATGAAATATTCTGCCTGGAATTTCTGAGAGCAGCTTCTGTACTGAAATTTCTTCCATTTCCAGTAACCAGAATGAAAGATATACAAGGGTTGCCCTGCATGGGAGACCAAGTCAGAGATCTTATTGAGGTACGTAACTCTGAATTATCTGCCAATTAATTCTTTTACAGATGTACTTTTAGATGTCACAGAGTGCTTCATTGATATCTGTGTGTATTTACACAACCTTCTTTATTTCCATTATATAATCCTTATTAGTAAGCATGCAACGATTTCTGGAAACCTTCTGTAGTAACATAAGTTTCTGTCATAGAACCTTCTCCTTTAGAAATAAAGGTAACTAATGAATAAATACAAATTAGTAAATAATGCAGCATCTTCTTTGTATGTAATTTTAAAAGGCTCACTCTGATTTGGATGTGACAGGCTAACTGTTAACAGTTTTGTTCATGTGACTTCTGGCCTCGGTCACATGACTTTGCTCACCTGAATGCTTTATTAGAAATAATAATTTTGCAAAACTGGTAAATATTTTAGTACTTCAATGTTAAATCTTACCTCGCTATGAGTTATAGCAGAGCCTTTTATCTAGGTGATGGATAAACGTTACATTCTTCCTGGAGCTTTAAGTATTCCCTGCATTTTTTAAAATTCTTAACCTTTTCAGGACCCCACATCTTGGGTGTTGTTATTCCTGCAGGCAGCTGATCCGGTCTCAGCTGTCTTGGAGCGGTCATTGCTGAGTGGTGATTCACTCTGGCTGTGAATCCACCAGTTAAGAATGTAGCCTCTGAAGTGCTCTTTGTACCTGCTACCTGGGGCCTGGGAAGTCAATTATGATCCCACAGAAAATAGGATGATTGGTGAGAGTTTTTTTTTGGTGTGGTGATTTTTTGGTTTGTGCTTTTTTTGTGTGTGTGTGGTGTGGGTTTTTTTTTTTTTTTTTAGCTTTTATCAGGAAGACTGAAGGAACTGTACACTCATGAAAAAAATATATCTGTTCTTACAATGCTCTTAAGAGAAATAAACTCAACTAAATAATGCAATCTAATTTTCAGGACAACTCATTGATAGCTTATGATAAATAACTGCTTTCTGGCTGTGAATTTATGAGTAAATAAGTACTGTGAAATATATTCCATGGTCCCAGATTCTACTTTATCCTTGAGTAAATTTATGAGTAAATAAGTACTGTGAAATTTATTCTATGGTTCCAGTTTCTCCTTCATCCTTCAGCAATTTTCTGTCTCAAAAAAGATTGCAGAATTTGATCCTAATGGAATAAAACAATATGCTCTCTAGGGATGCTATTCATGTTTGCACAGGTTGATAAGACTTTCTCTGAGATCATTTTACTAAATCTTACCATAATCTTGATTATTTTTACATTTGTTTTTTAAGTAACGTTTTTCTTTTTTTAGGAGATTATTGAAGAAGGAGAGAGTTCTAGAGTTAAAGAAGTGTTAAATGATGAACGATACAAATCATTTAAGGTAAATCTTTTGAGGTTTGAGGTTTGGAGCTGCTCAAAATTGCATATATTTTCTGCTGTTTAGTAGAGTTTAGGCATAACCATCAATTTTATTATAAAGGAACACCCAATATCAAGTATGAAGAAAGAAATGTCTAGAATAAAGAGAAAGAGGGAGAGAGAAATTGTGATAGAGTAAGGAAACAAAGGTGAAATCAGTTACCTTACTAATTAATGCATACACAGTTGCTCTTAATCTTGAACTAAACAATCTATTTTTCCTGAAAACTAATGTAATGCATACCCTTTGCTTTAAGTTTAACCCAACGTTGAGTTTATTTTTTCCTCAGTTGATTATCTTTATAACACTACACTATCTTATTCTGGCATTAAGATAATACTAGCTGAAGAAGATGACTCAGATCTATTTTAATTATCTTCTGTGTGAGACAGAAGGAAGAGGAATGGAGATATTTCTTTGTTAGGCAGATTGTAGGTTCAGAGTCATGATCACAATTCTTCATAGTTACAGGGAATCTAAAACTAATGTATAAATCTAAATGTATTCCTATCTATAGGAATCTAAAATGTATTCCCATTTCTTACTTATTCAGTGAATTTTCCACTGGAAAAATATTTTTTCAATTTTAACTGCAGTTTTAATCTCTAAAGATATCCTGTTTGTGTCTTCAGAAAAAAATTAATTGGGGTGTAAAAGGAATGGGACTGTTTCATTCTCCCCTGTATTACTCACTTTTACTTCAGCTATTGAAAGGCTCTTCCATTCTTCCTGACCCATAGTACAAGTATAAAAGATGTTCAGTGATAGCTGTTGATGCCATCTGTTTCAATACTCAGAAAAAAGATGTAGATTCACATGTATGGCAGGATGCAGGAACCAAACTTGCCTATTAATTGTGATAAAGACTGAGGATCAGCTATTAAATCTTATGGTTTGGGGTTTAAGAAAATTTTGTGGAGATTAGAATAAAAACTATCAGGGGACAGGTTATCTCAAATATACTTTATGCCTTGTTTCACATGCTAAATTGCAACAAGCTCATGTGGCTCTCTTGTTAGTTGAGCACAGTCTCAACATATCTGCTAAATTGGCTGTAGTTAATTTTTCCCAATAATTTTTTCTCTGTTTCTAAGAAAGCCAAGAAGATTCCCATAATATTGGTGAATTCCTAAATTTTAATGGTTAGTATGGTTCTGGTAACTGCTCCAAATCACTCATCATGACTTAAAATATCACTGCTGGTCCCAGGGCAGTTATCAAATGATTGGAATAAATTATACAGTCTGTTTTAGATGCAGGGTACATGAATGATATGGTCAGTTTTCCTCCTTTTAGAAGTGGAAGCTGCAGAGAACAAGTTCATATAAATCACTTCCACCAGCTGAAAAAGAACAGTGCTTGCATACACAATTGAATAAATGGGCTACCTGCTACCCTTGGAGTTTCTCTAAATTGACATCTATAAATACACTGACTAATAATGGATCTCAGTATGTAAAGAAAAGTGTCCTTTTTTCCCTAAAATTTAGACAGTGGCATAGAATAATTTTCTTTCGTTCTCTATCCCAGTATTAATTAAGCCTCTTGGAATCATTCTAAACCCTGTAATGGACCCTTTTGAAAATCTTTTAGCAGTAGCAATAACATTAAAAGATAACAATCTAAGTATTTTAAAAATCACATTCTTTCATAAACACCCATGATTCAGACAAAGAATAGGTAATTTTACCCATTATATAGAAAATGTAAGGTAATCCCTATTCAGTATTATCCAAGATTTTAATTTTTCTCTTTTCATTATCTAAATTATTTCCAAGGAATTAATCCTATTAGAAAAACACAAAATAAAGCTTGCATGGTTAGAATTCATAGGTTGTAGATTCAATGGAAAACAGCAGTTATTTGTGTCTTACACAGCTAGTCATTGAATTCTATAAAAGTACAAAGAAACTATTGAAAGCTTCAGTATTGACAAACTGAACATAAGGAACGTGCTTTTGAGCAAGCATGAAAGTTTTCCCGCTTGCTTTCATATTACTGTTCATCTGAAATATTGATCCACTGAATAATGCTTACAACAGTGACATTTTTGCTTTACATCCTTTCTTGGGGAATAAGTTGATGTACAAAACTACTTTGGAATAAATGGAATATAACCATGCTAAAACTTCAGAGAATGGTAGATTTGGGCTTTTTAATTTTTTTTTTTTTCAGTGGGTAAACAAGTGAAATCTGTACTACAAATAAGATGTATGAGGAATTTAGCTTGGCTGATGTGAGGACTGAAGAATTGTAAGACTGCTTATAATATGCAAGCAAAGAAAAATTGCTATTTGTACTTGAAATTGAATCTCATTTTGGGAAACGATATTGAGTGTGACTTCAGATAAAGACTACTATCCTTCAAACCTTAGTTGAAAGTGTTTATTTAGGTAAATCACATAAAGATGCTGGGGCTACTACTGTATTATTGTTTAGATTTCCCTTTAATGTGAACTGTCCATGTATAAAAACAATTGCATCTTCATTGTAACTCTGCAAAGAAAGGAAGTTGAATCTGCATGTTCGTATTATGCTACCATTTATCTTCAATGTAGGATAAGCTCTGCCCACTATTTCCTCTATGAAATCTCGTTGTTACCTACATGTTGTTAATTCACTGCTCCTTTAGAAAACAAGACTGAGATGTGTGTTCTTCTGCTGACTTTAGCAATTTACTTCAGTCTTTGGAGTGGGAGTGAAGACATCTGAGAAATGGTACAGAATGGGTTTACGAACAGTGGAAGAGATAAAAGCTTGCAAGACCCTGAAGCTGTCAAAAATGCAGAAAGCAGGTAAGGTGAAAGTCTCATAATTGATAACAGAATCAGAGAAGGAGATGAAGTTCATTTATACATCCATTTTCTTGCTGCAGTGTTTTGTGAATATTAAATTATTAGCTTAAAATGATATTTGGACTAACAGAGCTCCTAATTAAAAATGGTGTCATTCAAAACATGTGAATATGCACACTTTTTTAATTGCTTACACAGATACACAATGAAATCTGCTCTTATACACAAAACTATTAATGTGTCATTATTGCACAGGTTGTGAAAAAATTACGTTAGGAAATCATAGAACTACTGTTCAGAGCAGACCTGCCTCCTCCAAGGCAACCATGCTTGAGTGATAAATCAAGACTTGTAATAAAGTACTTGTAAAACTACTTCCATAATCCTCGCAAGTCTTAACTCTAAAGTGTGAAACGTAGTCAAATGAATAATGTTACTTCCCCATGGATTGTTTTTTTTGGTGCATGCACCATTTCCCTAAATAAAGGAAGTAATTTAAACAAAGGAATTAGTTCTGTTAAGGAGAGGAGTTTATATAAAGTGGTATTAAAATAATGTAATTTTAGTTTTGCATTAAACCTATGTGTGTTACATCACCTCAGAATCCCTTAGATAAGCTTGCACACATTCATGTTCTTTTGTCCTTTTTTCTTTTACATATCATACTCAAACGTGTGAAGCAAGCTGCAGGACAGGGCTCTTTTGATACAAACTCTGTGATCAAACATAAAGTTAGCTGGGGTATTTCACATACATCTGAGCCCTGTACTTGGCTAGAACCCCTTCCTTTCAGGAAGAACACATTTGTACAGAAATGCCATTGATGGGAGCTGGTAGGGAACTCAGGGTAACTTATAAATATTCAGGTTCTCAGCAAGCCGAGCAATTATCCTGACTGCTGTGTTGTTATAAATTGTAACTGCTGTAACAAATTATGATGACAAAAATCTACATAAACTGTAAGGACAAAGATGGGGAAGGAAGAGGCTGTATCTTGCCTCTGATCCCCCACACCCATGGTAGGAGGGTGAATCCAGAAATGGTGGGGATGAAGGAAAAGATTCCTGAAGAGGCTGGATCAAAAGAAAAACCTATAGTTTCCAGGTTCAAGATCAAGAATTTCCTAATTCTTGCCAGTAGAAAGGTTTCCCTTGCCCATGATACGAGTTGTGTGGTTTAATCCCTTGGTGAGAGGTGTCTGTTCACAGGGGGCTTACATAACACTATGTAGATTTTGATAATTCCACAGAGTGATCAGCATTTTTTTGCCTTTGACTTCCAGGGTTTCTCTACTATGAGGACCTTGTTAGCTGTGTATCTAAAGCAGATGCGGATGCAGTAAGCTTGATTGTCAAGAATACTGTGTGTAAGTTTCTACCAGATGCTTTAGTTACCATAACCGGTGGTTTCAGGAGGTGAGTGAAAACAAATGAGATCACTTGGCTATTTTATTCATGTACGCACAAAATGATGTTTGTTTCTTGGAAAAATCAAAGAAGTTTACTGGGAAAGTGTCAGGGTTTGTGGTCAATGGTTGTTTTTGTCTTTTTTCTTTTTTTTTTTTTTTTTTTAAAGGGAAAGCAATCGTGACATTCCCAAGTTCCTGTGTTTTATTACTATAGATGGTTGGTTTGTCAGAACAAAAACTATCTTAGCTTGCTGGAAAATTGATGTTTAGATCGGATGCTATACTTGGGCATATTTTTTTTTTCTTATTTAGTGGATCTGAATTCCCAAGGCTGACACTATTGTAAGACCGTGCCTGAAAAAAGATATGACAGCATTAAGGCTATATTGTGCTTAGTTGTTGGTGTGGTTTTTTTCTTCTTTGGTGTTCTTTTTGGTTTTTTTAATTATTATTATTTGTTTGGGGTTTTTGTTTGTTTCGTTGTTTTCTTGTTTTAAAGAGAACTTGGTCACATGACATTGAAGTATGCTAAGACAGTTTGTAGTGTTAGAAGTACACATTGCAGTAAATGTATACATTGCACTGACTAAACTGAATATACACTAACCTCTGTATGGATAGGGTGATCTCAGAATTTCGTTCCTAAAGCTCTGTAAAACCAAACCAGAAGCTGTTGCTAGGTACATACACTATTCATTCTTTCAGCATGTACTCGAGAGCTGTCCAGGAGTCATACAGCTTCAGGGTTGAGACTGGGAATAGTCTTTAAGGAGTATCAGGTTCCTTGCTCTCTACTCAATCCCCCATTAGGTCACTGCTTGTACTACCTGTTGTGCTCATGAACCAAAAAAAAAACCCCAAACCTTAACATGTTAAGTCTCTTGCTGCTTAATTTGTTATTTTGTGAAATGGTTTGAGTTATCTAGGTTTGAAGGTTTGGTTTGAAGTGTCTTTATAGGCACTTATATTTTAATTACTGAACTGCAATAGAGTTTACTACATCAGTACTTTTTTGACTGTCATATAGTGGCAGTATTCATCAGCATGAAGTATGTTTAAGCTCACTATCTCAGTTTTCAATTAACAAATTATTATTTCTTTCATCATTATGTAAATATTTTAATAAAAGCAGTAGGCAAATTTTATTAATTAAATGACTTGATTCTCCTATATTACACCTTGTATGTTACTAATATAAGAGAAAAAAAGAGCTCATGATTGCTGTGAATAATTTATTAATTCCCCAGGACCCAGATTTGTTTTGTTTTGTGTATCTGTTTCATAACTTGGAAAAAATAAGCAGTTGATTGTGTTCCTCCAGTTTTGATTGGAGAGTTGAAAGTCAGGAGTCTCATAAACCTTACTTACTATGTGGGAGAACTGAATGAATTACAAAGAACAGAACTCTGATCAGTGATCTGCAGTCATGGAGATTCAATAGGGTAGAGATGAAATACAGGAGAGAGACATTCTTTGTGCCAAACTTATCAAACAAACCTGTAGCTGCATATATTTAATGAATTACTAGACCTTTTCCATTAGATTCCTAAAATGTCATGAAATCAGATGTTGCATTAATCAAAACTAGGAATAAAATAGTATAAAATTCAAGTGAATAATAGCTTTTTTCTTTTTTTTTTTTTTTTTTGAAACACCAGCTAACTTGTTCACAGACTTTTCTTTGGTCTGATTTAGCTTTCACCTTTAGTCTTCCTTACTGCTTCTTGAACTATCTTAATGATAGTTGTTGTTTACAACAGCCATAGTCAAGGATGGTGGTAGATGAATCATGTTTTGGGTATAAATGAAAGACCAGTTCAAACACAAGAGAAGCCACTGTCTAGAGTATAAAAACATCAGTGCGTGAATTCCTCTGTAGCCAAATTGCAAGCACAAGTGCTGGAACACATTGGCTAGTAGCTGCATGTTAGAGAGCAACAGGAAAACAAAGAAGAGGATGGTCAATAGACAGTGAAAATGGAGCCTTGAAGAGACGAGACAACGATATTTTGAGCACAGGTTTGGCTGGTATTCTGGAGACTCTTAGGACACCGATCACTGCTTGTATCGAGGAAGCAGGATTGCAGGATTAAGCCAGTAGTCATCCATTTGCAGATCTTGTAGTAATAGAAACTGTTGTTTCTGTATTTCTAATTCAGAATAGTGGAAGATTCATGGGGGGAAAAAGGGACCACAGAGATGAAGTGAAAATCAAATTACTACTATATATGTGTTTTAATCAAAATACCAGGCCTACATGCTCTTAAAGTAAGACACGAAAACTGGAAAAGCTAGTGCAATCTTACTGAGAACATACCAAGGCCTGTTTCTATGACCAGGTGTGTGTACAATTAATTTCGCCTTTTGTTCTAATATTCTGTAGTTTCAGCTAAGCTTCCAAATTCCCTCTTTTACCTCTTCTCAGGGGTCATGTTACTGAAGCAGACTTCAGTGTCTGCTCCTTCCTTGATGCCTTTTCTTTCCTATTCTTCCATCTCTCTGCCTGTCTTCACAAAACAATAGCTCATAAAATATCTTTAATCAGAATTGCCTTCCTTGTGGTTTTGGTTGGAAGTGGCAATATACTGTGTTTGACTGAAGGCAGCTCTCCCTTCAGCTGTCTGAATCCCTAAAGGACATAGAAGTAACTGAAATAAAGGGTCATGATGGCAACCCTTCAGTATCTCCCTAATTTGAAATCATTGAGAAGTGGAAATGAATAAATTAATGCCTTTGCTACTACCCTACAGAAACAACTATCTATCTGCCTGTAAAACATATTCCTTGGTATAGTTTCATGTGAGAGAATTTCAGGTGGTTTTTTTGGTGTTTTCTTTAAATATTTTTCTGACACTTATCTGGGTCATTTTGAAACAGAAATTACAACACTGAAATGCATGGAAATATGGAAGTAGAACAATTGTAGTTATGAAATAAATAAATCACACCCAGAGGGTGTGGAATGCATTTCATTGTCTATCTAGTCAGGCCTATCAGCTTGACTATAGAGAAGGAACTATTAAAGATGCTGATAATGCAACATAAAGCATACCATGTCTGATGCTATCAGAAAGACTGAATTTACTGTGCATTCTATTTGAATCAGGAATGGGCATGGCATTATTTTCAGAGCTCAGCCTCTCTTACTTTGAATTGCTGAGATTTAAGGCTGTTTTTCTTCTTAAAGTTAGACAGATTTTGAGGTGGGGAATAGCACCTCATACTACAACTTACAAAAGCTGTTGAGGGTGAAGTTTCCCTTCAAACACTGAGTTAGAGAGGCCCTGGGATGGGGAGGAAAGAAACTTTATTTTAGTGTGCAACATCCTTGATTAATACTGTGTTTGTACCAACTATATCCAAGGCACGACTGTAGTTTAGGCTAATACAAGTCATCACTTTTAAATGAGAGTTAAACTGAATGTGATAACTTTTTTTCCCTGGTTATTAAAAATGTAATTTTATTCTATTAAGTGACTCAAGGATTTTTCAGTAGTAAAAGCATTATCTCATCTTGTATATATTACTGCACATTACAGAAAATCTGATATGTATTAGCAGTCTGTTAATGCTAATATAAATATTGTCATTGTTGCACAGTTGTTAGTAATGACAAGTAGACAGAAAACTTCACACTAGATTTCATGGCAGTGAAACTGGGGTAGTTTTCACCCTTTCTCCAGTAGCTCCATGTTAACATACAGCTTCACAGTGACTCCAAGAAAAGGTTGTCAAGTGCTGAATTATTATACGTTCTGCAAGATCCCAGATTTTTGCTAACTTGATTTATCTGCTGATATTTTGTTTTGCCACATGATGTGAACTAGATTGAAGGCTTCTTAAGAGCAGAAATACTTGGAGAAATCATTGCATAGTATATAGATTCAATCTCTGTAATGATTATTCATATATTAATGCACACACCCACAAAACCCAAAATTGACTGGAATTTATAAAAATATCTGGAATAAGAATTAAATTTAATATGAAGAATTTCATTTTAGATGAGTTTTCATATTGCAGTTGTTAAGGTGTCCAAGTGTATTGGGCAATGCATCAAGCAGGATAGCTAGTGCCTATTGTGTATTATTTGTCTTGGTGTGATGCTGATTCCTGCATCCTTCATCAGTCTTCAGGGAAGTTTTGTCTCAGATGCTATTATTAAATTCTGTTCTAACATGAGCCTGATTGTAGTTCAATATCTCCTTCTTTGAATTTTATATTATCTTCTAGAAATCGGGATCTGAGGCTCTGAAGGTAACGGATGTTAACAGAAAAGCAGTGAAGAAAGCAAAGGATAGGGTCAGTGAGTTTATCAGGAAGCACTGCCATGCTTTTGTATGTTACAGCGTAAAAGTTTCCTGTGTGCAGTGACATTTCCTGCAAGGCAAAGGAATGCATAAAGTAATGACATGACACACGACTCTGGTCTTCCCTGTTGTGTATCAAGAAAATATTTAACGATACCTCTCCCTTGCTTCTCAGAAATAAAGTAAAATGAAATAGCTGGGACAAAGAAACACTTCCAGAGATTATTTTACAGGCTCACACACTGAAGAACAACGAATGTTATTGTGGCACCTTCATTTCAGAAGTGAGACTTCCATAAGGCATCTGAAATCACAATTATCTGATTCTATTGACACATGCTCATAAATGAAAGAATATGAGGAAGAATGTATGAAGAATATTATACTTCTCAAGCTCTTGGTATATACTCGAGACTTCGTAGTTTATTTAACTGAGCTAGTCATGTGGTCTCTGACTGAATTTCTTGATAAATTGTGATAAAAAGCACTGTTTGACCTTTTCATATTGGATATTCCTAATAAAAGGATTCTTTAGCAGACTGTAGAGGGTAGAACACCTGACATGACTACAAATCTTTATTAGGTTCAGAGAAATAAATGTAGCTGAAGTCTTATTACACAAATTGTTTTCTTTCTGCTCAGATCTAGGATTAAGATAGTGCCAAACTTCAAATCTATATAATTAATTTAGCAAAAGCTGC